CCCCCCCCTAGTGCATAATTGTGGAAATCTTGTAACTGTACATGCACTTTCAAGGCTTCTATTTTGGTAAGGCATAAGTACCTTGATGTCTTTATTCTTGGTGGGTGGTTTTTTTTTTCCTTAAATCTCTATCTACCTAAAATTCTTTAGGCCTAAGCTCTTTTGAAAGCTATTAATTTCACTAGTCAAGGTAGTTCTTGAGGTGGTTCGGACATGTACAGAAAATAGAAAAACAGTGACTTGGAGAGCGTGGAAATCTTTAGTGGACGGAAAGATGGGTAAGGGTCGGCTTAGGGGAGGTTGGAGGGAGTGGGTAAAGGTTGTGTACGAGGGGCTTTGATTTCCAGCAAGCATGCATAAGCGTACTTGATAGTGGATGGAAGCATGGTTTTTAATACCTGACGTGCTGTTGGTGTGAGCACTTAAATTTATGAAGGGCCTCGGGTAAACCGGCAGGCCAGACTCCCATCCTGGAAATGGGAAATAGTGTATGCACTCTGGAGGAGGGGTTTTATAACTGTGTAAGGCACCCTTCTGGCAAGTGATGGAGTGAATGATGAGTTACTCTTTCGGGCCACCCTACCTTGGTGGGAATCGCCCGAAGTGTTAATAAAAATTAACGTTCACTTTTATACTTCATGGGTTGCAAATTTTTAAATTCCTTCAGTTATTCCCTGAAGTGTTCCTTTATAGTGTAAAATGCTAAGCAATCTTGTCCATCACTATTGCTATTGTACCAAACTTATCGTACGTAACTTTTTACTAATCTGTATATTTAATGATTAAATACTTGTCAGCTATATTCATGCGGGTAAATTCTTGCGTTCCTGCAAGTTTAAAGCTTTGTTTAAGAATCATTACAATAAACTTCTAATAAAACTGCGTGCGAAATAGGTTAAATATTAAACCTGATCAGTGCGTGCTTTTCTCTTACTTCTCAAAGCTCTTCTCTTCCGGTAGAGCTATACTACGTGTACGAACACGGTATAAAAAAAACTAATCAGTTAGTCTTTGTGATGAATAAACTGAAATGCCTTACGATCTGGTCATTTGGTTCAACCAAATTATTTAATGAATTTAACTATTCCTTTTATCTAAAAGATAATAGAACTTTCTTAACACTTCAGCCAGTTTAATTTTGTACCGCACTTTGCACTATGCTAAAACTTGTTATACAGGGATTTGTACTAAAATTTTTAACTTTAAACTAAGGCTAATTAGCAGATATGCTGTGAAATATGTAAACCGTGCAGAAATACTTTACCTCCCATTCATTGGACCAATATTTTTGTATTTGCTTAGTAAAGACTTGCCATAAGATTTCGTTCGGATTTTTAACCCCGGAGGGTTAGCCACCCAGGATAACCCAAGAGTCAGTGCGTCATCGAGGACTGTAACTTATAAAACTACGATTGTAAGTTTTTTCTAAATCAGGCTTCATAAACTGAAAGCTTCTTAACTTTATCAATTACGTCTACTAAAAGCTTAACCTAATGTTTTCGCTTAACTTCCAACATCCTCTTCCCCCACGACTAGTACCTACCTGGAGGGTTTCGAGAATAAACGCCCCGCGGCCTAGTCTGAGATCAGACCTCTACTACGTGCCTGTCCAGTGCCTTCTTGACGGCTAGAGGTCTATTGGTAATCCCTCTTATGTATGCTGGGAGGCAATTAGTCTTGTGCCCCGGACTACTTTTTTTTTTTTTTTTTTTTCTCTGTACTCGGTGGCGCCCCTGCTTTTCATGGTGGGGGGGAATGTTGCGTCTCCTGCCGAATCTTTCGCTTTCAAAGGAGTGAATTTCCCCCCCCCCCCCCTTGTTCAGGCTTTTTTTTAAAAATCCCTCCAAGACCCATAATTTCACTTTCATTAACTGGTTCTAAAATCCAAAGTATTTACTTCTCTGGAAAGAACTTCCCAGCACTTTCGTGACTTCTCGGGCATGAACGTCCAGCTTCCTTGTTGCTCTTTAATGCAGGTTTAATACTTCTTTGTCACTATTGATGACTTGGACACTATTTTAGAAGTCTTTCACTTCTAATTTCCTCGCACCTGGCAAATATTTTACTTGGTTACCGGACCATGTTAACTTTGGGTATATAATTACTTAGTCTTAATTCTAAGCTATTAAAATTGTTTGGATAGTGTTAATCCTCGTTTAAGTTGTGGCGCTTTATCCCATCCATTAACTTGCGAAGCATTACCTTCATTTCTTGCTCCCCCAGTCGTCACTGTAGATATTAACCCTATGTATTGTTTTTTAGCAACAATGTCTAGCAGTAGTAACGACCGGTGGATCCGGGCAGCCATGCCCCTTGAAGAATGGTTTGAGATGGGTCACAAGCATGGAACCTTCTTAGCTTGCTATGTTTTAACGCTGGGTTCTCCTCAGCCCCTCGACCACAACCACGTCAAGCAAGCACTACTTCACTTGTACAGGTAAAATCATTAATTCGGTATATTAAATTTTTTCATATTAGTTTAAATTTAAATTTTCCCCTACATTTAGTACTTTGCCAGACACTACTCGTCCAATTTTCCTTGTTACTACACGTAATTCTTTTTTTCTCTGGTGTGGCATAGCACCAGTCTTCAGCTTCCCCATGACTAGAACTGCTAAATCTTTATTCTTAACCTTTAAGATCTATTAGATTTCCACGAAATCTTCTGCAGTTTTCTTGCAGAAGCTGTCCTTCAGGCCAAATTAACTATTGCCATACAGGTCTTGTGACAGACGTATGGACTTAGCTTCTAAAGTTTTTTTTCCTTCGTATCAAAGCGAAACGCCAGCTTTCCTAGAGTTTACTTAAAATTACATCCTTGTTTCCAGTTAATTTTGCCAAGTTGTTCTGGCAGTGACTTTGCCTACCTCTTGGTGCACTTCTCGACTTTCCATGAAAATCAGAGTCTTCGATAGAAGTTTTAGTTACTCCTGTTTACCCCAAGCAGCTTTCAGATCTCCAGCATAAATTACTTTCGCCTGTTCTTCAGTATGGTCCGAAACATTGTACTAGACAGTTATTATTAGACAATAAATTAACTTTTTATTAGACTGCAATTCGTAGAATTCGAATCTCATTACTTTGGAGAATTTTCCAAACTAGTACTTTCCGTTTCTCCAGGAAAGTGCCCAGCCTCCGCTTGAGTATGGACACCCGTGACGGAGTCCTCTGGTTCAAGGAGTGTACTCGTGAGACGATAGACTTTGAGGTATGTTTTAAGAAACACTTTGGTAGTCAATAGTTATCTCGGTGACCCCCCCCCCCACCCAAAAAAAAAAAAAAAAAAAAATTTAATCACTAGTGCCTCGTCCAGAATAGCAGGGTTATGTAAACTTTGGTTTAGTCTTTCTAAAGCATAATACAGCTGAAGCGCGCGCGCGCACAGAGCCTCAAAACGAAGCATAGTTTAATCTTGAAGTAATTCACTTACTCTTTATTGACTCATTTGCCATGGAGTTCCTAGCTCTCCCCTGGACAGTTCCGGGGGTCAACGCCCCCGCGGCCCGGTCTGTGACCAGCCCTCCTGGTGGATCAACCAGGCTGTTACTGCTGGCTGCACGCAAACCAACGTAAGAGCCACAGCCTGGCTGGTCAGGTACAGACTTTAGGTGCTTGTCCAGTGCCAGCTTGAAGACTGCCAGGGGTCTATTGGTAATCCCCCTTATGTATGCTGGGAGGCAGTTGAACAGTCTCTGGCCCCTGACACTTATTGTATGGTCTCTTAACGCACTAGTGACACCCCTGCTTTTCATTGGGGAGATGTTGCATAGTCTTTTGATTTCTTTGAGATTTTCGTTTGAAGTTCAGTACTAGTCCCTCTAGTCATTTTCCAGGTGTATATAATCGTGTATCTCTCCCGCCTGCGTTCCAGGGAATACAGGTTCAGGAACTTCAAGCGCTCCCAGTAATTGAGGTGTTTTATCTCCGTTATGCGCGCCGTGAAGGTTCTCTGTAAATTTCCTAGGTCAGCAATTTCACCTGCCTTGAAAGATGTTAGTGTGCAGCAATATTCCAGCCTAGATAGAAAGTGACCTGAAGAGTGTAATCATGGGCTTGGCATCCCTAGTTTTGAACATTCGAGTTATTCATCCTGTCACTTTTCTAGCAGCTGCGATTAAGTTATGGTCCTTTAAGGTGAGATCCTCCTACATGATCACTCCCAGGTCTTTGACGTTAGTGTTTCGCTCTATTTTGTGGCCAGAATTTTTGTACTCTGAAGTTTTAATTTCCTCGTGTTTACCATATCAGAGTAACTGAAGTTTCTCATCGTTGAACTTCATATTGTTTTCTGCAGCCCACTGAAAGATTTGGTAGATGTCCGCCTGGAGCCTTGCAGTGTCTGCAATGGAAGACACTATCATGCAGATTCGGGTGTCATCTGCAAAGGAAGACACGGTCATGTGACTGACATCCTTGTCTATCAGATATGAAGATGACAAACAAGATGGGAGAGTACTGTGCCTTGTGGAACAGCTTTTTCACCGTAGCTGCCTCTGACTTTACTGTTGACAACTACAGTGTTCTTTTTGTAAGGAAATTATAGATCCATCTACCAGCTTTGAATGTTATTCATTTAGCATGCCATTTGTGTGCTAGTGCGCCATGGTCACACTTTACGAGGGCTTTTGCAAAGTTTGTATATATTACATCTGCATTCTTTGTCTTCTAGTGCATCTAGGACCTTGTCTGGGCTTAAGACTTCCACACAACTGTCAAACTTCCCCCCCCCCCAGTACTTTCTACTTCTATATTTCCCAGCTGTATAGCCCTTGTCTTGGCGCTTTTTAATTACTATATAATTTCCCAGGCCCCTGTAAGAACTTGTTGGTTTGTATTAACATCAGATGGAATTGGTTACCTGCATTGCTAGTGCAGTGATCTACAATCGGTAAATAAAACTCTGACGCCTCTCCCGACACCTTCATGTCTTTAGCAGAACTAAAAAGACTAGAGCAATAAGGGTCAATAAATATTGGCAACTAGCCACCAGTTGAGTACCTTTCCTCCCATCTGCTCAGTTGGGAGGAAACACCGGGTGAGGGATGGAAAACTGGGAATAGCTCACCAGCACTGTTGAACAGGTTTCTTTGTACCTGTTAACCTAGTAAGTAGGAAGAGATGCTTCCTGACAGTATTAAAGAACAATTTGAAAAGTCCATTTCCTGTAACTTATGGGGTTACTAATCATGGTAAAAATCTAGGCTAAAGGTTTCTACCCCAGTAAGAGCATACACAACTACACTAACTTGTGTTAAGGGCTCTTATTGAGCCAGCACATGGTGGTTTGCACAGCTGGTTTTCATTACGGGATGCCTGAGGGAAGGTGGAGAGGGTTCTTTAACATTTGGGAATTTTGCTTTCTCTTGTGATTCTTGAAAGTTCATTTTTCTTAACTTTTATTGCCAGAAACTCGTGCATAGCAATCTTTCAATTAAATTTCTTCCTTCAGTTAGTACTCGGTGTTAGATTAGTACACAGAGGCTATCAGTTGACTAGCCATCTTTATATTAGTGCTAATTTTATTTTCTTTTTTTTTTTTTATTTCAGGTGGTGACAGATTGTGACCTAGACAATGTTGTATCCCATCTTAGGACGTATCGATACAACTGTAAACTAGGTCCCATGTGGTGTGCTAGGTTCCTCCCTGCAGCCTCTGCCACTGTTGCCGGAGAATCTGAAGCTGCAGTTGCTACACTGATTCTATCTCTGGCGTTCCCCCTGATGGATCCACTTCCCATTCTGATACTTTACCTGATACTAGCAAACGCGAGGACAAGATGTTGGATACAGCTGCTGAAGCAAAAGCCAGTGCTGCTAAACGGGAGGCCACTGGTGCTATTCCCCGTGCGGCTCCTTGCAGTGGCTTTCATCCCCGCCCTCCATGGCTTTGCTTTCCTCTGCTCTCAGTAGGTCTGACTTTTCCTTTGCCCGTTGCACTGCTACACCTTCTACAGAATCTCCACCTTTAGGAGTTGCTCCTCCTCCCTCTCCAGACTTTCCAAATGGCCTTGCATCTTCTCAACCTCCTTCCTCTGAAGGATCTCTGAAATCTTCATCCAAGTCTTCAGAGTCTATCTCTTTGCCTTCTTTTCCATCATCCGCAGCATCTTCAGTTTCATTACCATCAGTCAGTTCGGCATCAACACCACCCTCTTCCTTGTCCGCATTATCTTCTGCCTTCTCCTCTGAAACTGACTTCAACTTGCCAAAGACTGACACCACGGTACATCCTGTCGATCCTTGTTACCAGGCTATTCATCGAGGTCATTACCTGAAAGCAATTTGACCAGTCTTCACAAACTGGCGCTCGTTGTGCTAGATCAAGTTTACTTCAGTTTCTGACAACGTCCTAATCGCACCAGTGTGTCTACTACCAGATGCTCAGTCTACAAGATCTCCACGGTGTCCGCTTTGCGTTGGCTCTACACAGCATGACTGTAACCTTCAAACATCCACACAGGATCCCTCTACCCTTCCTCTTGCTGAAGAACTGTGGACGTTGTGGCCTTCTAAAAGCCACCTGGTTCTTGGTATACACCATGGTACTGCTGATGGGTTCACTGCTCTAAAGATTTGGTGGTCTTTCTACAGCTGCTGAATGATATCATAGCTGGCACACCCATTAATGATGATCAGCTTGCAGAGTTTGTCGCCGGTGAAACTTTTAAATTAATATCGGCGAAGAAAGTGGGTACACAAAGTAACCCCTCACCGAAACCCCCATTGGAAAGAAAGAAATCTGAATTGGAAGTCTTCTTCAAAGGGTCAGATGACCAGTCACTTTACTTAACTCGAGTCTTAGACCAGTCTACTACGAAGTTGCTAAAAGAAAAGTGTTGTATGGAGGGTGTCTCTCTGTATTCGGCCTTCTGCGCTCTAGCTACTGTCACTTTCGTAGACTTCCTAGTGGCTAAGAATGTAATTCGTGAGAAGTACTGCGTGTCCAGTAAACACAGCATCAACATGAGACGATATTGGAGCGGTGATTCATCTCTTGCTTTTGGCTGTCACATAGAATCGATCAATCTGCATACGATGATCCAGAGAGAAGCTTTGGCAGACTTTTGGAGCTTTGCACGGTCTTTACACGAAGAACTACAGGAAGAGATGGATAGTAAAAGCATCTTTGGAAAGGCAGTCCAGAAAGAACTGTATCGCCCCACTGTTCATGACAACGAGAAGTTCATGACTAGACAGCCTCTTAGTACTGATTACCATATTTCTGACATGGGTGATGTGACTGCATTTATACACGGAGGACCTCATGTACGCTCAGAACTGGTGTGGTCTACTGTATCAATCCACAAGTTCAATATACCCTGCGCTCACCTCTTCCATACATACAGAGGGAGATTCATCCACACACTTGACTATGCCACAAAGTACATGACAACAGAGGCAGCCACGATGTATTGCAACAAAATATTCGATAGATTACGGAAAGTAATTTTATAGGTATTGGATTTCGTAGTACAAAATCTCTTGCCTACTAGAATTTAGTCATCCACAAAAGCTTTTTTAGCGCTTGGCTTTAGCCTCTTCTGTTCCACTAAATTCAATGTGCAATTTGTTTTTTCATGTGCATAATTTTTTAATTTTTAATGTTTTGATATTTAACAAGGTTGATTAGAGCTTTGGATTATGTTGGTCAGTGTTAGTTTCTTTGTATTTAATGTAAGTGGTTTAATAAAAGACATTTAAACTATTGGACAAATCTCTACCCCCCCCCCCCCTAATATGAAAATCTACAGCATAATGCCCAGTTTCCTAGGAGAATTCCTCTTGAAGGGGAGGGGGGGGGGGGTCCTTGCATTGATTGTTTGTCTGAGGAATTGGACCTCTGTATTCTTCCAACCGAACCTAATTACCCGGCCCTCCTTGACTTTTTTTTTTTTCTCTCTCCTCGCTCGCTCCCCTTGTTTTCTATCCCATTTGAAGCCTCTAGGGGTCCTCCACTCTGGCATTACAATTTCTAGGTAAGGGATGGCATGCTGGGGCTCATCCCACTCCATGAGGTCCCTCACCTGGAGTTTACCTGGAGAGAGTTCCGGGGGTCAACGCCCCCGCGGCCCGGTCTGAGACCAGGCCTCCTGGTGGATCAGAGCCTGATCAACCAGGCTGTTGCTGCTGGCTGCACGCAAACCAACATACGAGCCACAGCCCGGCTGATCCGGAACTGACTTTAGGTGCTTGTCCAGTGCCAGCTTGAAGACTGCCAGGGGTCTGTTGGTAATCCCCCTTATGTGTGCTGGGAGGCAGTTGAACAGTCTCGGGCCCATGACACTTATTGTATGGTCTCTTAACCATACAATAAGTGTCATGGGCCCGAGACTCGTGGGACCCCTGTGGTGAATCTGACTACCCTTTCTTCTATCAGCAAAGGTAGCTCTGTAGGTGCAAGGCTCTCCTGGAGGGCTGGTTGACTGGCGTGAAAGGTTGGGTATGGCACAGGTTCCACACTGCATCTAAACTAACAGGAGGGCTCTAGGCCCTCCGATGAAGGGAGTAGCTTTCGGCCCTTCCATGCTTCCTAAAGACTTCCTGGTTCCCCCCCCCCCTCCAGTTTTTAAATAATAAAATAAAAAAAAAATAATACAGAAGCACTTATGAAGTCTTCACCCAGTGAAACCCATCCTCCCAGACCCCCTTTCTGATACCAAACCCTGTTCTGACCTGGCTTCATTCAGATCATTCTCTTGACTTCTCATACCCCTGTATGTTCTGCTGGTGACTATTCATCACCTGCTTCACGTGCTGTGGCATAACCCATTTCTGTTCATACTGCTTTTAGCACTCCTTCCACAATGCGTCCGGCTTCCCAAAGTACCGTGCAACTGCTTTTGTATTGCCCACCTCTGGGGGTCAGACCACTCGCGATACTAAACTTTCAAATTCGACCTATTGACGACAGTTCGTCTATGATCACTCAAAAATGACCTACGTGACAATCTCTTTGCATACCAGGCTAAAGAGTACATAATGGACAAAAATATTTCTTAAGCAGTTCTGATCGTGGAATTTGTAATTTTCATGGCACGTTAGCCAAAATATCCTTCGCCGCTCTTTCCCCTCAAGGAAGGTTCCTTGATGTTGGTGAGGGGCTCTTGATTTAGGGAATTGGATCTGTGCTCCAGTTCCCCGAATTAAGCCTGAATGCCTTCCACATCCCCCCCAGGCGCTGTATAATCCTCCGGGTTTAGCGCTTCCCCTTGATTATAATAATAATAATAATTCGCCGCTCTTCAAAGCGGTGCATGTAATAGTACAGAATTCAGAGTAAGCTCTTGCTCTCCTGCATCACTTCCATAGATGACGTACCAGTCACCGTTCGTAAGCATACTATTAATTTTTTTTTTTTTTTTTTTTTTTTTTTTTTTTTTGTGGTAATGTGGTCTTACCATGTACCGTTTTGGAGTTCTTTTGGCGATGACATATTAGTGCAGTTACCCCTGCAGAACTTCCTTATTGAGGTAGATGCATATATCTTCCTGCTCATGGACAGAGGTGCTTTCCTAGTAATCGTTTGTTTAACCTTCGACTGCTGTGAACTTCCGTCCTCTTGAGGTCTGTCAAGTAGTTCTCTCTTGCAGTTTTAACAGCTGGAGTTATGAGCACCCCCCCCCCCCCACTATCACCGCATGTCTGTGGTGGATGCCCGGTCTGCAGTGCAAATCATTCCAATACATAACTGCAACAGGCCTACTGGCCCATGCGAAGCAGGTCCATGCCCCCCCCCCGGCCACCCGTCCTCCCTCCATCTCAATTGCAAGGAACCTCTTCCTTCCTTTTCATGCCATTCCCAGGTCTATTGCAATGAGATCCGTTATCTTGAGGAGCGTGAGGACCTGCCTTACACTATGGCTCTTTCAGCTCCACCTTCAAGGAAAACTTCGTGTCCCATGTGCTTGGGTAGTTGGTGACCCCAACCTCGATGGTCCTCCTGCCTCCCAATCCCTTTGTCAGTGTCTTCTGGGGTCACCCAGTTTCTAATTCTTTAGTGGTTTTAATCTTGACACTCGTACCTCCACACCACTTTCTACTTCATCTTGTTCGCTTGCTTCTCAGTCTAAAAGGCCTTGCAGACCTATTTATTTCGCATCCATCGCCTGTACAGGATTTTCTACCTCGGGGCCTAGCTCTCGCCCCACTTCCAGCTATCACAAAGGTGGAGGTTCACCTTCCCTAGTGTAGTCCCATCTTCCCCATTACCCTCCCAGTCTTCCTCGATAGTTACCCTCCAACCTAATTTCTCTTCTGTTAAACTGCAGGGCTCTTCTACCCCAGCCAACACCTCTCCAGGGTCACTCTGGCCCCCGACCTTTTTTGGTTACCTCCATAGTTACTCTGACCTTTTACTTGCAATGCCTCTCCTGTCTCTTGATATCATGGCATCGTCGGCTTCCTTAGCAGCAGAGACGTTAGATGCTGTCTCCAGCTATGTTGTAGAGACACCCCCGAGGCACACCGTGCCTCCTACCCCCTTCTGTTTCATGATCCTCGCAACAATCTATTCCTCTGCGATATTCTAATTTTCTTGTTAACACGCCTACCTTTGCCCCCACATGTTGACTTTACTGATCCTAAAAGCCACCCATAGGTTTTTCTTACTGTTACCATTTTAATGGTAAGAAATATTCGTGGCCTTAAGAGCAAGTGAGGAGAACTAGTGTTGCTTTTCCATTTGTCCCCAGTATGTGTTGGGTTGCAAGAGCCCAATATTCGTTCTGCTGTCATTCACCCAGTTTTGGGCTATGTGCTGTTATATTCCATTCCTTTACATGAATCATTTAATGAAAGCGCACTTGTGCTCATTGATAAACTGTCAGCAAGTTTGTTAGTTTCCCTCTGGATTATACTGCAGCTTGTATTTATTTACACATGGTTTGCCATTTCTCCCTCGCCTGCACTCTGGATCTGATATCACATTTTTAACTTCTCTACTGCCACCCATCTTGTTGGGTGATTTTAATGCTTGCCCTCACCTTTTCTGTAGTCTTTTGACTACCGCCCACAGGATGGGTATGGGGTGCATAGATATTAAACTAAAAGCCTCACCTTTGAGAGGGTCCCACTGCGGTTCACTTGGAGAGTGTTCTCGCTTCTCATCCTCTTCACGTTTTCAATACGCGCACTCCTGCATTGCTCGATCCGTTCCTCGCCCATTTCACTTGATTGAGTTCAGACATGTGTACCTTGGTGGTCTACATGCGCCCGTGTAGTGTTTAAAATGTGCTGCACGAGGACATTATCAATATAATCGAACCACAGAGCATCTGTTGGATTTTAAGCCGGCAAGGGCTGTCGCTTGCCACATCATCCGCAAAGCTAGATGCACTTGTTGGCGAGACTACGTGACTACCATTACCTCGTCTTCCTCTATGTGCGCGATTTGGAGAAAGGTGCACAAGTTGTGTGGAGTTGACACAGAACCTCTAAAAGTTTCCACAGAAATCGGGAACTATCTTGTCCATATCTACCGAGGGCTTCACCTCTGTCCCTCATTTCTTGCATCTAAGCCTGCCAAAGAGCAATTGCCCTTAAATTTCTCCTCCGATGGATTAGAGCCGTATAACATACCTTTTACTCCTAGAATTGGCGTCCACGCTTTCCATTTGCCGGCCGTTTGCTATGGGACCTGATGATATCCGCATCGGTATGCTACATCTCCATTCTACGGCCCTTGTACTACAGTTTCGCAAACCAGGTGCTTTGGGGCTTGATACCTCTCACTATCGTCCCATTGCCCTGACCAGTGTGGTCTGCAAGGTGATGGAACGAATGGTAAATAGAAGTCTGATGTGGTTCTTACACACTTACAATATCCTTTTCTCTTGGCAATATGGCTTTCGCAGACTGCTCTACTTTAAACGCCTTGCTCCATTCGATATGTATATTCGAAATACCTTTGCTCCCAACCACTCTCCCCTCAAGGAAGGTTCCTTGATGTTGGTGAGGGGCTCTTGATTTAGGGAATTGGATCTGTGCTCCAGTTCCCCGAATTAAGCCTGAATACCTTCCACTCCCCCCCCCAGGCGCTGTATAATCCTCCGGGTTTGCGCTTCCCCCTTGATTATAATAATACCAACCACTCTGTCCTAGCAGTCTTTTTTGATCTAGAGAAGGCATATGACACCACTTGGGGGTTTATAACATTCTTGCCCAAGCCCACTCCTTAGGCCTCCATGGTAATCTACCAAACTTCATCGCTTCTTTCTTGTCTTATGTATAGCCCTTGTGGCTTAGCGCTTCTTTTTGATTATAATAGTCTTGTGTTAGTAGATGTTCTTTGTTTGTCCCCCATGTTTTCCCTCCTCCCTATTTGCCTACATTCGCTCTCGTCTTCTCGTCAGTTACTGCCTCTCTCTGTTCATGTAGCATCTTACTTTTCCCTACCCCTTGAGACCTCAAGGGGGGCTCCTTGGCGTGGTGAAGAGGCTCTTGGTCTGAGGAATTGACCTTTCGGTCTTCTTCCTCAGACCGAACCTAATTCCCCCCCCAATCTCCCCTCCCTACCCATCCTCCCCATCCTCCCCTTTTTCCTTTCCTCCTCCTTTCCTCCCCACCCCTCCTTTTGCCCTTCCTCTTTTTGTCCTTTGGGATTTCTCCCCAGGCGCGCTAGTTCCTAGGTAGGGGAAAGGATCCCGGGGTCCATCCCATTCCATTGAGGTTCGTGCAGTGGCGTAGTTTGCCGTGGAATCTGGA